TGTACTTACCGACAATTTTACTCTTGCACCTTTAAACAGCTACAGCTTGTCGTCAGTGTGAGTCAAACTGGTGTGTGAGGTGGCTCTGCAGGTGGGCTCATTAATTGCCTGAAACAGAACAGCTGTTTAAGATTGTAAAAGTTCCACTGGACAAGGACATCAAGGAGATCATAAATAACAAAACCTCACAGGTTTCAGAGAGACATCACCAGATTGCTTGGATAAGGGACACTGCACTTCAAGAGACCATATCTGGAGTCAAAGCTTTATTAGAAGCTTTATATCCAGAGGTCTCAGCTAAACTGAATTTGACACACTGATATTGTGAGAGAACAATAAAGGATGTTCCATAATTTATCATCGCATTATTTGGTAATATAAGGTCCTGCAAACTGACACTTGTGATGAAATCAGTCAGGTTATCCACTTCCATTGGCTTTGATTGCCAAATTCTTTATGGCATATTTTTTTCCCACTTTTATATCCACTTCATTTAGTTCTTAATAACAGAATTGCAAAAGTAATGGTTTCCATCTGTCCATTGCTGACAAGTATGTTTGCATCAAGTTGTTGGGCATATTATCATTGCCTAAAACTGTGTTGTGTACAGTATATCTCTGTCCATTATTGATTGTGATACTTATGCTATGTTATACTTGTGAACTGTAGGAGTAAATGTGTCTCTGCTCTGCTTATATAGTTGCCCAAATCCCCTTTGTTGTCTTTTCTGTCTGTGTGAGTATGGCATACTGCCACACCAGCCTTTTCTCCTCTAACATGACCCTCTGGCCATCAGTTGCAGCTGCCCTCAAGGTCATTTTACTGATGTTTTTTATTCAATTAGCCCCCCTCACAGTCCCTCCAGACGGATCTTGTGTTATATGTTTTCATTCAACAGGAGGCATATGGTTCATGCACATTTGCACACCATGACACAAGCTTTTGTGTTCAGATGCCACAAGGAAATTGCTTATTTTTCTCTTTAAATGCACCTCCATTTTCATGTGATCCGAAGATCTTGCAATCATTCTAGGACGTTCCATCTCTGCCCCATTATTTCATAAGAATAGGTTTTAAATTCTTTAGGGGTAAAGAGGCATAGAGGATCTTGATCGGATGGGAATCTAAATGGATTTCCTTCCTGTTCTAGTTTAGGGAATGTCAAATGTGAATAAAATCAGAAGCCCCCTTTCTCTTTTTCACTTTATCCCCGTCATCTTTCCACCTCACCTTCTCTCTCCCGGCTCCTTCAAGTGTCTCTTCACATGCTCACAGTTCTCCTCTCGCTGTGCTGTTTGCCGACAGCTGCAAATTGAGACTGTTATTTGGTGTTTGGAGCCATCGCTTCCTTCAAAGAGCTGGTCTTCTTTTATGAAATAGGCTCTGAAAACAATGACAGATGCACTGTGATGAATGAGTGGCAGAAAAGATGGAGGTGGGTTGTGAAGATGAGTTCATACTATAAATCTACAGACAAGACAATGTACAGGATGTACACCAGGGATATACTTACACTAAATGGTCATTCAACAACAGGCCATAAACCCTCTTATTGGTCTTCTCTAACGTTTCGAGGTAGCGTAAGACCTCGCAGGATAGATAATCTTTCTGATGAGAAAGTGTTGTAGAATGAAATGCAAGTTCTTATAAGAACTGTTCTTTGAAAGATTTTTTGGGGAATCCAATAATGGTTCAGAAAGGTTGGTTCAGAAAAATAGTTCAGGTTACGAAAGTTTACACAAGCAAACCCTCGCAAAGTGGATCTGACCAAATGGGCTGAACATCTAGAACATGCTAGAAATTAAGTCAAAATTTGGAAAAAAAAATGGGCATAAACCTACATTCATACATAAACTGAATGCCAAGCGCAACTTTTAGGTGCTATTTTTGTCCGTCAGCTCAACTGTCATGGACCTGCACGCACAGGATAGTGGGATATCATAGGCAGCGAAAAAATAAATCTATGCTGCCTTCAAAAACTTTTCAGATGAAGATATCTCAGTTGACAGGACATGACACGACCATTGGATTTGGGCATGTCTTGTTGCTTTCCTACCTCTGTATTCTGCCAATGTAGGCAATGTTTTTTAGTTTTCATATGCAGCCAGTGACTACAGTATATATATATATATATAAAAGATGCCAACATCCTTATCACTGGTTTTTATCACAGTTGACGTGACGTGTCCAATCAAGGTGCAAGTTCATCCATGAAATTTTAATTAACTGACAGCAGGTTTTATATGGTTGACTAGAGATCGTAGCATTCGAAACTGACAGAAGTAGCTCAGGTGGATCAATGAATGGATCTAAAGATGTGTTCACAACATGTCATTATTACCACAATTATGCTGCCTCCAGGTGCACCTGGGAAAATCACACCTCAGAGTTGGGCATCTTTTATTATGACATCACACATTCAGGTCAGATACATAACATGGAAGCAGTCTAAACAAAACAATTATACTGTCAACAGTAAACCGAAATAACTACATCTGAATTCATAATGTTGAAAATAAATCATTTCTATCACTTATTTATACATGGCATCAAAACGAAATGTTTGTGTTTCATTAAGCAACTGTGAAAGCTAAGTGATTAACTTCACACTTGTTGTCTGTCAGCTGTTTCGTAGATCACACCTTTAAAATGGTATATATACTGTATATAAATAGCTAAATCCCTGTAGACTTGCTTTTAGCTTATTGATCTCTATATAGTCATGTCCCTTCCAATGTGTACAATGCGTATCATCTAGAATTCTGAGTTTCCCACTTGTAAACATGCTTTTGCCTGGCCATTCATGTGCTCAGAACTCTGTAATTACGATATTTCTGACTCCACTTGAAGCGCACATTAGATGTTCTATTAAGAGCTGTTCACATATTCAAATTCTAAATTATTAACCATAAATATTACAAGATAAATACTTAACTACATTTTACTGCTGTAGTCGCTGCATGCCATTTAAAGTATTTCTGCATGCGGTCAGTTGGTACAAGCTGTAGCGCTCTGAAAATCTGAGTTTACAAGTTGCTGTTATGAGTTCTACAAGGACTGTTTCTTCTATGGAACCATCCTTTGGTTGTGCAGGTCCTGGAACACAATACATCGGTCACATCCGCAGTGATATTCAGTTGAGAGAACAATAAATAATTTTCTTTAACGTTGTCATGATTATTGGTAATATCAGGTCCTGCAACCTTATTGAGTCAGTCAGGTTTTCCTCTTCCATTGGTTTTGATTGGCAAATGCTAATGTTACTTGTGGACTGCAGGGGGCGATGTGTTTCTGCTCTGCGTATAGTTGTCCATATTATAAACTGGCCAAATCTCTCTCTCTCTCTCCCACTCACTCTTTCTTTCAGTGTGAGTGTTTCTTTTCATCATTCTCCTTTCAGCAGAAATGATCCTCTATGTGCCGGCAGTTGCAGCTGCCCTCAAGGACATTTTACTGATATTTTTTATTCAATTAGCCCCCCTCACAGTCCCTCCAGACGGATCTTGTGTTATATGTTTTCATTCAGCAGGAGGCACATGGTTCACGCACATTTGCACACCATGACACAGGCTTTTAAGTTCAGATGCCAAAAGCAAATTGCTTATTTTTCTCTTTAAATGCACCTCCATTTTCATTTGATCCAAAGATCTCACAATCATTTAAGGACATTCTATCTCAGCCCCATTATTTCATAAGAATAGGTTTTAAATTTCATAGAAGTAAAGGGAACGAAGAAGATCTTGATCAGATTGGAATCTAAATGCATTTTCTGCCAGTTCTAGTTTAGAGAATTTCAAATGTGAATAAAATCAGTTGAACTAGAAGCCTCCTTTCTCCTTTTCACTTTATCCCCGTCATCTTTCCACCTCACCTTCTCTCTCCCTGCTTCAAGGGTCTTTTCACACGCTCACGGCTCTCCTCTCGCTGTGCTGTTTAACCAGCCATGCCAATGGCTGCAAATTGAGAATATTATTTGGTGTTTGGAGCCATCACTTTGTTCAAAGAGCCGCCGCTGGTCTTCCTTTATGAAACAATGACAGATGTACTGAGATAAATGAGTGGTGGAAAATATGGAGGGGGATGAGAAGGTGGGGTTACGGTCACTCATGATCATGAAGGCTTTTGAGGATAAATAAATGCTGTTTTTTACTCACACAGGGTCCAGTAATTTGAGACATAGAGTTTGTGGGAGAATTTTGGAAACCTTGTGTGAAAACACAATTGTCATTATTTATTGTCTTTACTGCCACTAATGGTGCAGAATTACACCCTTCAGGAAACTGATTTGATGATCCTGCCTGATTCAGCACCATGGACAGCATACTATTATTATTATTATAATTTTTTTTTTTTTTTTTACAGTTGCAGCTCACATTGTAAACGTATGCTTAATTTGGGTTTATAAAACTGAAACCCAGCCACACATGCACCAAAATACACACCATTGCACAAAACTAAACTGCTTCATTTTAGTGAATACACATAAAAGTGTGTACTCATAGGTAGATAGTCTCTCTCTTGACTGTCCCACATAACCTGATGCTTTTATTGAAATAATCATTACACATCCACCTTTCACTCTTATGTGGGATGTGTAATAATCGTTGTGTTGAAAATACTGTCACAGCACTGCTGTAAGATTTTAACATGTACATGTCTCAAATGCGTGTATCATTTTTCCATTTAATTTGTCTAAGTTCCATTATTCTGTTGAATATTCATGCAACTCAGCAGTTTTGATGTGTGTGAAAGAGGAGAAAAGTCACATCAGCCTATCTGAGTACTTCACTGTTTAATTAAATGTGATTTAACTGAACATAAGATTTAGACGGAATTACTAGACTGAATTTCTGAGACAGAGAGAGAGAGAGACAGAGAGAGAGAGAGAGAGAGAGAGAGAGAGAGAGAGACAGAGAGAGAGAGAGAGAGAGAGAGAGAGAGAGAGAGAGCACAGCCCAAAGGCTGAGAGAGAGAGAGATAACGCATGAGAAAGAGAGAGAAACAGGGATGAGGATGGAGGCAGAAATGAACAGAGCGCAGAGAGATTCACAACATTCTCGCGATTGATCAGGAAGCAGGTGCTGGACCTTCATCCACATCAGACTGAAATCAGAGCAGAAATGGATGTGCGGCAGGACTCGATGAGCTCCAGCATCTGACCGAAAGAACTTCTGATTCACGCGAATCTAGTCTCGAGGTCATCGATCATCAGTTTTTTCATTCTATTTGAAGCTCTGCGCGTTTCGCTGGATCTTCGCCGATTTTTTCGCCTTCAAATCAGTGCGCCGGCTCATCCTCTGCAGTTTGAAGCTGCACCGCACGAACGGAGGCTGATCATGAATATAAAACACATCAGATTCGTCATATAATGGGGATCGAGGACGCGAGCATGAGGAACGGACGGGCTCTGTCCGGTCAGTGGGCCGACAGCGTGGTGGTCCGGCCCCGGACGACCGAGCAGCACATCACGGTGAACAAGAGACTTGTGCTGGGCTTCGCCATCTCCATCCTCACCCTCATCGTAGTCACGGCCATCGCAATCACGCTCAGCGTCAGCTTCGAGAGATGCGCCGCGGAGAGCAGCGGGGGTCTGGCAGCGAACGGCTCCAGCAACAGTAAGTGGAAACAGTCCCGGGACGGAAACATCAGTCACAGAGACTCAGAAGACGGCCAGCAGCCCTGGAGACATCTGCGCTTACCGTCCACCCTGCGCCCCCGCCACTACGACCTCCGACTGTCCGTGTACATGGAGAACTTCACCTTCTCCGGCGAGGTGAACATTGAGTTTGAATGCGTCCGCTCCACGAAGTTCATCGTGCTGCACACGGACCGGCTGGAGGTGGAGAAGGTGCTGGTGTATTCGGACAGTATGAAAGCGGGCGCCATGAGGATCCAGCGTCGCTTCCACTACCAGCCCAAGCAGGTGTATGTGATCGCGCTGCACAGAGAGATGAAGCC